CCGCTGGTGGAAGCGCGGGGCGTCCTCGGGCGGCACCCGCTCCAGCGAGTAGTCGTCCAGCCGCCGCGCCTTGGGGCCCAGCACGGAGGCCGAGCGCTTCATGGGGCTGGTGTCCGAGATGGTCTGGAGGGGACAGGCCCGGGCCCCGGTCAGCGGGGGCCCCGCGCGTCCGGCAGGGGCTGGGCCTGGCTTCCCGGCGTGGAGCCGGGGTCCCCTGTGTCCCCCGGCTCCAGGGCTGCACTTAGGGTCTGTTCTGGGGTCTCCCGGGCCCGTCCTGACGTCCCTCGTGCCGGAGGACCCCAAGCCCGGGACCCTGGCGGGCCAGGACGGACCGGCCCTGAGCTTCCCACGGCTCTGACCCCGGCCGCCTGCCCTAGCCTCGGGGACCCTGGGGGACGGCCAGCCGTAGTCCCCCACTTCCTACCCCCATCAGCTCTGCCATCCGTGGACAAGACGGGGACCCCCCTCTTTTCACCAAGGCTCAGCCAGGACAGGCTCTCCAGGGTCGGTGGCAGGTTTGAAACAGGAGCTTGGGGAACCAGGCCATCTCTTGGGGGGGCAAGGAGCCCCCTAGATTGGGGGCTCAGAGGAGGGAGAGGGGTGAGGGGTGACCCCCTGCCACACACACAACGTATGAGGAAGAGGAGGCTCCGTGGGGGGAAGGGTGTGGTCTACAAAGAAAAGCTGGGGGTGGGGGACAGTGAGGTGATGGGGGGCTGCCCAGGGGGTGGGGAGGAAGAGGGGCCGGGCTCGGCGCAGGCGCAGTACATACGCTGAGGTTATTCCCACGTGGCCGGCCCCTTCTCCTCTGTCCCAGCCCCAGATGGTGCACACAGAAAAACAGAAAGAAGGAAATAAATATAAAAGGAGGGAGCGGGAGGGAGGCGCATGGAGGAGGGGAAGAGAGAGAAGTTAAGAGTCGGAGGGTGGGTGATGGCACCCTGGGATCTGCTAGCTGTCCCCCCCAGGGGGGAAAAAACAACAGAGGAGACAGACAGGAGACACACGGACAGATGGCGGAGGCAGGAGACAGACAGATGGTACAGCAAGGCCCCTGGCTCCAGCCTCAAGCGATGCACCCACCCTGGCTCCAGCTGAGGCTCAAAGCCTTTTATTCTAATTTTTTCCTGGTCCTGGGGTTTGAACTCAGGGCCTGAGCGCTGGCCCTGAGCATCTGTGTTCCAGGCTGGCGTTCTACCACAGGAGCCGCAGCTCCACGTGGTGTTGTGGGGGGTGGTTCATTGGAGAGGAGTCTCAGCTGCCGCAGCTGGCTTTGAACCTCATTCCTCAGATCTCACCTTCCTGCGTGGCTAGGGTTACAGGCTCCTCCCCTCGCCCCAGGGGGCGGCCTGCGGCCGACACAGCGGGTCCCAGCCCAGTCCTGAGACCAGCAGCTCAGCCAGCCACATGCACCGGCGCCCGCGGGCAGCCTTGCTCCAGCCAGGCACAGCACAGCCTCCACTTCGTGCAGACACCGCCAGGGCCACGCGCCAAGCGCTCGCAGCCAGACATGCCACCCCTGCACCCCCTGCGTGGCCTTCAGCCTTCGCTCCTTGGGGTGATGGTGCAGGAGGGATCATTTGCCCCGCAGCTGGGTTAAAGCAGACACACACACAATCACACACATACACACACACAAATCTGCACACACACACCCCACCCTCTAGAGAGGAAATGCAAGGCCCAAACCCAGCCTGGACTCTTTCTGCAGTGTGGACCCATGTATACGTGCAAGCCTGCACAGAGCACCTGTGTCTACAAAGCACGCATGCACACACCCGCTGTATGTCATGTGCAGCAGGTGCACACTTCCATGTGTGTACATAAGCGTGCGTGTTACATGCCTGTGTGATGGGGATAAAAACCAGGGTCTTTCACATGCTAAGCACACGCTTTACCTCTGAGCTACACCTCTAACCCTGTAGTGGTGTTTTTTGTTTTGTTTTACATTTCCTTTCCCGGGACTTGAACTCAGGGCCTGGGCACTGTCCTTGAGCTTCTTTTGCTCAAGGCTAGGCCTCTACCACCTGAGCCACAGCAGTACTTCCAGCTTTTTCTGAGTAGTCTTCCCTGCCTGGGCTGGCTTTGAACTGTGGTCCTCCAATCTGAGTAGCTAGGATTACAGGTGTGAGCCACAGCACCTGTAATCCTAGTTCAGGTTCTATGGTTTTCTCTTTTTTTGAGGGGGGGGGCAGTCTTGGGCACGGAATTCAGTGCCTAGGTGCTGTCCCTGAGCTTCTTTTGTTGTTGTTGTTGGTCGTGGGGCTTGAACTCTGGGTCTGAGCTCTGTCCCTCAGCTCTTCAGCTCAAGGCTAGCGCTCTACCACTTGGGCTACAGCACCACTTCCAGTTTTCTGGTGGTTTATTGGTTTATTGTTTTGTTTTCTTTTGGCCAGTCATGGGGCCTGAACTCTGGTGTCCCACCTCTTCAGCTCAAGGCTAGTGCTCTACCACTCAAGCCATAGCACCACTTCTGGCTTTTTCTGCTTATAGTGCCACTTCTGGCTTTTTCTGCTTATGTGGTGCTGAAGAATCAAACCCAGGCCTCATGCATGCAAGGCAAGTGCTCTACCACTGAGCCACCTTCCCAGCCCTGGAGATAAGAGTTTTAAGGACTTTCCTGCCTGGGCTGGCTTTGAATCGCGATCCTCAGATCTCAGCCTCCTGAGTAGCTAGGATTACAGGTGTGAGGCACCGGTGCCCAGCTTGAGCTTTTGTTTTGGTAGGTTATGGGGCTTGAACTCTGGGCCTGCGTGCTGTCCCTCAGCTCTTCAGCTCAAAGATGAGCACTCTACCACTTTGAGCCACAGCACCACTTCCAGTTTTCTGGTTGTTCATTGGAGATAAGAGTCTCACAAACCTTGCTTGGGCTGGCTTTGAACTGTGATCCTCAGATCTCAGCCTCCTGAGTAGCTGGGATTACATATATGAGCCACCAGCGCAGGCCTGAGCTTTTTTTGCTCTCGGATAGCAGGCTTTTTGGTGGTTAATCAGAGTTGAGTCTCCCGGGCTTTCCTGACTGGGTTGGATTAGAAAGTAATCCTCAGATCTCAACCTCTTTTTTCTCCCTCCTTCCCTCCTTCCTTCTTTTTTTTTTTTTTTTCAGATCCTGGGGCTTGAACTCGGCCTGGGTGCTGTCCCTGAGCTCAAGGCTAGCGCTCTAGTAGGTGACAGGCATGAGCTATGGGTGCCTGGCCTGTATGTGTGCACGCCTGTGCGTGTGGAACGAGGCCTTTTCTGCTCACGGGTGCCCCACCACTCAAGCCATGTCTTCAGTTCTAGGTTTTTGTTGGTTAATTGGAAATAAGAGTCTAGCATATTTTTCTGTCTGGATAGTTTCAAACCTCAAATCTTTGATTCCAGCCCCCTGAGTAGCTAGGATTATAGGCATGAGCAACTGGTGCCTAGACTTTCTGTGGCGGCACTGTGGATTTAGGACCCTTTATAGGCAGGGATTGTACCGCTTGAGCATATCTCCAGCCCTTTCTCTTTTCAGGTTTTGGGAACTGTCTTAGATTTAAAAAAAAAAAAAAAAAAAAAACCTCAAATCTAGAACTCTACCACTTGGTGAGCTGGGAAGGTGGCTTTAGTGGTAGAATGCTTGCCTAGCATGCATGAAGCCCAAGGTTCAATTCCTCACCACATACACAGAAAAAGTGGCACTGTGGCTCAGGTGGTAGAGCACTAGCCTTGGGCAAAAGAAGCCCAGGGACAGTGCCCAGGCCCTGAGTTCAAGCCCCGGGACTGGCAAAAACCAAAAACTAAAAAAAAAAAAAAAAACAATCTCTACTACTTGAGCCGCAGCTCCAGTCTGGTTTTCGTTGGCTAATCAGAGATAAGATTTTTGTTGGTTAATTAGAGATAAGACTTTCCTGCCCTGGCTGGCTTCAAAATGTGATCCTGTTAGGAGAGTGGCTTGGGTTACAGGTGTGCGTCAGTGTCGCCCAGCAGTTGTCATACATGTTCTGATAGAGACTGCCCCCAGTGGCTTCTCACTGCCCCCCTTCCCCCATAGCGAGCGAGTCAAGGGAAGCCACCAAGTTCTGCCCAGGACACCCCTTCGCCTCTCTGGCTTTACTTGGGGAGGTCCAGGCCGCTGGGAGTGGGTGGTGGGTGTGGCCTGGAGTGGGTGTGGCCTGTGTACAGCCAGCCCTGAGTGCCCAAAGGAGAGATGCCTGGAGTGTGTGGGGGAGGGGAGGCCAGCGCCCCGACCTCTCCGGAGGTCCTGCCCCGCCCCAAAGTGGGCGTGGCGAGGAAAAGGGGAGGCAGGAGCCCCGCCCCTCCCGGATGGGCGTGGCTGGCGCGGGCGGGGCGGCGAAAGCCCTCACCTGGTTCTCGGCGGGGAGGCGGGGCATGGAGGCGGCGCGGGCCTGGCCCTCCATGGGGAGGTAGTGCTCGCCGTCCGAGTAGCCTTCCGTGCACATTTCACGCATCTCCACCGACTGCGGGCCAAGAGGATGGCACGCGTGAGCCCCGGGGGCCGCGGCCCAGGCCGCGGGGGGGGGGCGGGCGCGTGGCGGGAGGGGCCTGCGCGGGGGGCCGCCGCACCTGCGAGTTGGGCTGGGCGCTGGGCCCGTCGGCGGGGGGCCCTCGCTCCGGGCTCCACGTGCCCGTCTTCTGGAACATCTCCTGGGCCCGCTGCGTCACCCACGACGGGCTCTCCTTCATGCCGCCTTCGTGAGCCATCCTGCGTGGGGGACGGAGGCCGGCATGGCGAGGGGCGCGGGGGGCACCCACACCCACACCCCTTCTCCTGGCCCAGGGACACTCACAAGCCTCCGCCCGGGTCCAGCTGGGTAGCGGGGAGGGCGTTCTGGCCGGGCCCCCCCTCCTGCGTCGGGGACGGGGGCTCCATGCGCTGGAACATGAGCGGCGTCCGGTTCTGGGGAGACAGTGAGCCGGGGGTGTGTAAGACGGCCGAGCGCCGGGCCTCCCCGGGGGTCGCGCGTGCGCGCGCGTGTCCCCGGCAAGGCTGGCGCTCTACCACTTTTTGGGGTGGTTCATGGGAGCGAAGTCTCACGGACTTTCCTGGCCGGGATGGATTCCACCCGCGACGCCCCAGGATCCGCGCTCAGCCTCCGGACCTTCCCGGAATTGGCCACGCCCCTGATGCTGGCAGGTCGCCATGGTAACAGCCCCCCCCCCCATCTCAGATCAGGCCTCGAGTACCTGCTCCTCCCGCATGGCTTGGAGCCGCTTGGCCTTGCTCTGGCGGTAGTATTCCATGATCATCATGGCAGCGTAGATTTTCCCCACCGTCAGATCCGTGGCTGTGGGGCACAGAGTCGGCTTACCAGGGCCCCCCTTCCTCTCCCCTCTCCCCCCATCCTTGCCACCTCCCTGGCGCGCTTTTCCCCCTTGCGTGTGGCCGGCTCTTACACTTGTGTGGAGTCACCAGGAGGTCCAGCGTCTTCTGTGATAGGTTGGGCCAAATGGCCATCATCTCCTTCCGCAACTCCGCGTCCATCTGCTGCTTGTCGGCTCCACCTGCGATGGGGGTTCGGGCAGAGCTGACCGGGGCCTCGGAGTCCACACCTCCCGGCTACCTGACCGCCCCAACTGTGCGCCGCAAATCTCACTCACCACCTGCGTGGCTTGGGCTACGCTACCCCCTGCCTCAGTTTCCCCATCTGTGAAATGTGATGACAACAGCAGGACCTGTTTGGTGATCGGCGTGGCGAAGGCTCAGGCGGCCAGGGATGGGATCTCCTTCACAGGATGTGGGGACATCCTGTGGGGTTAAATGTCACTGCCCCCTCCTGAGCTCCCCCTGCGTATTCAGACAAGCTCTGCAGCTGGTTGCTGAGACTCCCACCTGTCATCCCAGCTACTCAGGAGGCTGAGATCTGAGGATCCTGGTTCAAAGCCAGCCCGGGCAGGAAAATCCATGAGACTCAGCTCCAATAAACTACCAAACAATCTGGGAAGTGGAGATGTAGCTCAAATGGTAGAGTGCTAGCCTTGAGCAAAAAGAAGATCAAGGACAGTGCCCAGGCCCTGAGTTCAAGCCCAGGATCAGTACAAAAATAAATAAATACAAGTGGAAACTTAATTTGACTATGGGGTTTAGAGGTGAGGCCTTTGGGAGGTGACTAGGGTTTTGGTGGAGGTGGGTTTGGTGGTCACATATGTAATCCCAGCAACTGGAGAGGTTGAGGCAGGGGGATCAAGAGTTCCAGGTAAAGCTGGGTGCAGGTGGCTCACGCCTGTCATCCTAGCTACTCAGGAGGCTGAGATCTGAGGATCTCTCAGTTCAAGGCCAGCCTGGGCAGGAAAGTCCATGAGACTCTTATCGCCAATGAACCACTAGAAAACCAGAAGTGGCACTGTAGCTCAAGCGGTACAGTGCTTACGTTGAACTGAAGAGCTGAGGGACAGTGACCAGGCCCAGAGTTCAAGCCCCATGACAGACCAAAAATAAGACAAAACAAAACAAAAAAAAGGTCTAGGTAAGCCTGGGCTTCATAGTGAGAAACTGTCTCAAAGTAAGAAACAAAAACTGATACCAAGATATAGTCCCATGATTGGGTCCTTTATAAGAAGGAGAGAGACCAGCTCGGCATGGTGAAGTATGCCTGTAATCCCAGCTACTAAGGGGGAGGAGGCAGGAAGATCACACATTCCAGGCCAGTCCCCACCACACAGACTCTGTCTCAAGAACAAAACAGAAGCTAGGCGCAGGTGGATCACGCCTGTCATCCTAGCTACTCAGGAGGCTGAGATCTGAGGATCGTGGTTCAAAGCCAGCCTGGGCAGGAAAGTCCATGAGACTTAGCTCCAATGAACCACTAAAAAGTAGGAAGGTTCAAGTGGTAGAGAACTAGCCTTCAGCAAAAGCAGCTCAGGACCAACAGTGTTTCTCCCCCCACCCCCCATCTCTCCCAGATGGGAAGGGAGGAGGGAAGAGGGTCGTGGCTTTCGGCTTTGGGATCAGCACATCCAGTCATCAGCAAGTCATTGGGATGAACAGAGCCTCAGCAAACCTTTATCAGTCAGAGCCATACCACGGAGAGCCTGCTGAGGCTTTGTGACAACACCTGAGTCTGTATTTTTTTGGGGGGGGAGCGATCCTGTAGCGGCCTCAGTTTCTTTTTGCACAAGGCTAACGCTCTACCACTTGTTCCGCAGCTCCACTTCTGGGTTATTTTTGGTTGTAGGACTTGAACTCTGGGCCTGGGCGCTGTCCCTGCGCTCTACCACCTGGGCCACAGCGCCGCTTCCGGTTTCCTGGTGGTTCATTGGAGATGTTTCACGGACTTTGCTGCCCCGGCTGGCTTTGAACCGTGATCCTCAGATCTCAGCCTCCGGAGTAGCTAGGATGACAGGCGTGAGCCCCAACGCCCGGCTGGGCCTTGTTTGGTATACCTTCTTGGTGATACATCCAAACCTGGGAGCAGAGGCTCTTCCAGGCTAGTATGTGTGTGCGCATGCGCGTGCACGGTGCTGGGGATGGAACCCAGGGCCTGGGCAGGCCGAAAACTCTCCCACGGGGCCTCCACCTTTGAATTTAGCCACGCCCCACGGCGGGTGTCCCGCCCTCCCAGCACGTTTCCCCGTAATACACCCAGCAGATGGCGCCCGTGAGCACCCGAGTCAGGACTCCACACCCAGGCTCCGGAGGCGCTGCCATCTCTGCCTCGATTTCCCCTCTCCTCCCTGGCTCCTGTCCTGTCCTCTCTGTTGCTCCCAGGAGCCCGGTGTGACCCCCGCCTCCGTGCCTCTGCAGCGACCGAGGCGCCGGCCCCGTGCTGTGCGGCCTGGCGGCCTCCCGACCTCGTTTACGCCGCCGTGCGCCCCCCCCCCCCCCCTGTGTGTGGAGCGATATCTGGCACGCATGCGCAAGGCGCTCCCTGAGGGCGTGGGGGGGGGCTGAAGGAAGAGGGGGGCGGTAGGTCCCTGGTTCCCGGGCGGCGGGGGCCCTTCGGCTGCCCTCCGCCTCCGCTCGCCATCCTTACCCTTGGCGATCTTTATGTCCAGGGCCGTGCGGATCAGCGCCATGAGGGTGGAGTTAAAGTGGACCGTGTTGTCGTCGGCCACGGGCAGATCCATCCGTAGGAGCCTCTACAGGAAACCGGGGTGAGGGCGGTCACTCCGGGGCCCCTGCTTGGGTCCCCCCAGAAGCCACCCCATCCCTCACCCCAGAAAACCCGCAGGAAGAACTCTGGAGACTCGGCGCGGGCGCTCCGTGGGTGTCTGACCCAAGGCCGGACGGAGCCCTGGGCCTTCCCAGGCTGGCCTCGAACTTGGCCGGAAGCGCAGGCTGGCCTGGATCTCAGCGCTTACGAGGTCCAGCCCCCCCCCGCCCCCCGCAGTCGTGGGGCCTGAACTCTGGGCCTGGGCGCTGTCCCGCAGCCCTGGACGAGCGCTCTACCACCTGAGCCCCAGCGCCACTTCCGGCTTTCTGGTGGTTCATTGGGGATCAGAGTCTCTCAGATGTTCTGGCCGGGCTGGCTTTGAACCGCGATCCTCAGATCTCAGCCTCCTGAGTAGCTAGGATGACAGGCGGGAGCCACCGGCCCCGGTTTTTTGTTTTTGACCCCCACATTCTAGACGTTCCCTCTCCTCCCCTCCCCCGCGCCCTGCCCCAGAGTTCTTCCCGAAGGGTCGCAAACTTTTGTGACTCCGAAGAGAAGGAACACGAGGCAGATTCAAGCAGCGGGTGGCAAACAGCCCCAGGCAGCGGATTCCCAGGCCGGCGGCAGGGCAGGCTCCCCGTCCCGCCCCGGCCCCGGGCAGCCCGGCCCGGGCGGACGGGGTGGCAGGGGCGGCAGGCAGGCAGGCGGCGCCCGCCGCGGACACACGTGCAGCAGCCGGGCGCGCACACACACAGCACAGACAGGGCGCGTGCAGACAGCATCTGGAGACTCATTCATAGCTCCGTGGGAGGTGTCTGGGGTGTGGCCGGATCGGGGGTCTCGGTGCCCGGGCGGGGAGAGGGGGGCGGCCATCCCTGCCACTCAGGGGCGAGGCGAGTCCCTGCGTCCCGGGCCGGGGCTCGGCGCCCCGCGCTGGTTTGGCACGGATGTTTGGGGGGGGCTGGGACAAGTTTGGGGTTCACGAGGGGATCCACACGGGTGAGACAGATGGGAGGGGGGGGTCAGGGCAGATCCAGAGGGATAGGAAGCGGGGCCGAGGCCGGAGAGGGGGGGGTCACGCCGACGAGGGGGCCGGTTTCTTGGGTCAGGGCGGGTCCCCATCTCGGAAGTGGGGGTGTCCGCGTTGCTCAGGGCGGCTCTCCCTCGGGTTTTCCAGCAGATGTGCTCCGTGGAAAAGAGGGGGAGTGGAGCCGTGGACACAGCCTTCCGGGCGGAGGCCAGGGGAGGGGGGCGAGGAAGCTGGGGGCCGGGGGACACAGGTGCAGAGAGGTGGAGGGGGGACCGACGCGGACAGACGGGAGGACAGGGAAGCCCCAGGGGTGGGGGGTGGGGAGACGGGACCACAGGCTAATTTGGGGGTCTCTTAAATAAAAAGGCCATTCCTGAACTTCTCCAGGAGGAGTGGAGGGGGACAGAGCGTCTGTCCGCGGGCACCGGGGGGTCCCCCGGACAGAGGTCCCGAGGGAGGTCGGGCAGACCCCTCGTTCCGTCAGCAGCATGCAGCCCCCGCCCCCGCGGCCGCGGCCTGGGCCCCCGGCCCACTCTGAAACAAAGGACAGGCATGTTGGGGTGTCTGGGGGGAGGTGTCAGATCCCCCCAAGTCCCTAAGTCAGAGAGCAGCTTCAGGTGTGCGGGCGGGTGGCGGCCTGGGAGCTGTGAGGGGCGCAGAGACGCCGTGGCGCCTCCTCTGGAGGCCTATGGGGTCCAATTTGGCTCGTGGGGATGTGGGGGGCGGCTCCCCTCCTCCTCCCCCCCGCGTGTTGGCCATAATGGAGTCTCAAAACGCGTAGACACTCATCAGGAGAGGACGGACACAGTGTGCAGAGTCGAGGGGGTCATGAGCCAGTTACTCGAGGAGAACAAGGAAAAAAAGAAAGAAAGAAATCAATGAAGAAGGAGGAGGAGGAAGAAAACGCTGGAAAAAAAGAAAAGAGGCTGGAACGGTTGTTCTGAGCACTGGAAAAAAAAAAAGAATAAAAACCATCTCAGTGCTTGGAGATCTGGGTGGTGAAGATAAACTACCTTGTAAGCCATTCTGGCCGGACATTTCTTCCCCAGACCCAAGGGCGGAGACATGTGTCTTAACATCTGATACATGTCCGGGTAAGACAGGCGGCCCCTGGGAGCACCAGACACAAAACCGAAACACAAGAACCGGTGGGGTGGGGGGGGGGGGGGGGTGGGGTGGGGACGAAGGGGGGGGAGAAAAGGGGAAGTGGGGAAGAAACGGGAAAAAAAGGAAAAACACATATACACCAAAAAATAAACCACAAAACCCAACATCAAAATAATAATAATAAAGAAAACCAAACCACACAATTGGCCAAAGTAGAGAAAGAGGCAGGGAATGATAAAATAGATATTCCAAATAAACAGAAGAGAGGAGGAAGGGGGGAAAAATGGAAGAAAAGGTCATTAAAAATGATCATTGTATTGCTCCAGAGTGTGAAAGAGAAAAGAGAGCGGTGTATTCAGATTTGGCAGTTTGGGGGTGTCCGTCTGGCTGAGGCTGGTCTCTGAGGGGAACCGGGGAGCCAGGATGGGGAGAGAGGAGGGCTGGGGCTTTTGCGGGGTGAGGAGAGTGAAGGTGATGGTGTGTGTTTGGGGGGTGGCAGGCAATGCAAAATTACCACCTTTCCCCCACAGGGGAGCTATCTGATCTGGGGGGCCCTGGATGGGCTTTAGCTAAGAGCAAGCAGAAATGGCTGGGGGGGGGGCAGGGAAATAATGCTCCATGCTTGGCTGAGCCTATGTGATTGCATTCTTTCAGCTAAGAGACTTGGCTAGTTTATAATGCAAGAGAAAGATGGCGCTGTTGTCCTTCTTCAGTTTTCTATGTATATATATATATGAAATATATATATTGTTGAACCCCAAGCCACGCTCATTCCATGGAGAGGCAGCAGGTCTCTGGAAAAATCACCTTGCAAGCAACTCTATGAGGGCATTTCTTGCCTAAGCCGAGAGGGGGCGCTATTACTCGTAATAAACTGTACATATCCTTATAATGAATCCGCCCGCTGAAAGGAGAAGAGACCCAGTTAGAGGAGCTCTGGGGGGGCCCTGCCATGACACCAGCTCCCCACAGAGCACAGCCAGGCAGCCAGGAAGAGGCAGGGGTCGCCTCCTGGGGTGAAGAATGGCGTGACAGAGACTCAGGACAGGGACCAGAGGCATCCGCCCCACGAGCACCCGGAGATCCCCCCACACCAGGGAAAGGGTGGTGCTGAGGGTTCCGGACTGGGGAGGGGGCTCTCTCCAGGCCCCTCCCTCACCATCTACCCCGGCTACAGGGGGCGAGGGGGGACACAAGGGGGAACCGGGGTTGAAGGGCCAGCACCTCCCCGCTGTGACCTAGGATTAAAAGAGGGAAGAGTTAAAAGGAGCCCCAGGCAAAGGAACCCCAGCCATGGCTCTCCCCAGCTGCCCCGGCTCCTGCTGGGCCTGCCCGGGTTTGTGGGAATGCAAGGGTAGGACCCCTCCCGTCATGTGGACAGGCTCAGGCTCCCGGGAGAAGGGGGTGCTGGTGTCCATGTGTGTGGGGGGAGTCTCTGTGTCTCTTTTGGCGCCAGTCCTAGGGCTTGAACTCAGGGTCTGGGTGCTGTCCCTGAGCTTTTCGCTCAAGGCCATAGCTCTACCACTTTGAGCCACAGTACCACTTCGTTTTCTGTGGGTTAATGGGAGATTTGAGTCTCACAGACTTCCTGGGCTGGCTTTGAACCATCATCCTCAGACCTGAGCCTCCTGAGTAGTTAGGTTACAGGTGTCAGTCACAGTGCCCAGCAGAGTGTGTGTGTGTGTGTATGTGTAGGTGGGGGTGTCTTTTCATGGCTGGAACCTCACAGGGCCCTTGAAGGCCTGTTGTTTTTCTTGGGGGGACGTTTTCAGGCTCGACACTGAGCTTTGGAAAGATCTGCTACATACCCCAGGCTGGCTTAGAACTTGTGATCCTCCTCCTCAGCCTCTTGAATGCTGGAATTACAGGCGTGTGCCTTCATGCCTGGCCCTCCTGTTTTTTTTTCTTTTTTGGGGGGGGGGATGCAGTACTAGGGATTGAATCTCAGAGCTGTGTACGTGTTAGGCAGGTGCTCTACCGTTTGAAACATGTCTCCACTCCCTATTTCAATTTATTATCATTCTTATTGTTTTGTGCTTGTCCTGGAGCCAGAAAAGAGAATCTCTTGTGCTCACTTGGCTTTTTCTGCTCAAGGCTGGTGCTCTACCACTTGTGTCACAGCACTATTTCGGGAGATAAGAGTGGCACAGACTCTCCTGCCTGGGCTGGCTTCAAACCATGATCCTCAGATCTCAGCCTCCTGAGCAGCTAGGATGACAGGTGTGAGCCACCGGCGTTCACTTCCTTGGTCCTTCGTGAGGTGGGGCTGTGTTTTATGCCCAGTACTGCGTGGGCTGTTCGGGGTCCCCGGGGTTGACAGGTGTACCCTTCTGCACTCAAACACTGGCTAGCCTTGAACCTCAGTCCCCCAGTCTCTTCCTCCCAAGAAGCCAGGATTAAAGGCGTGAGCCACGGTGACTAGCATCTATTTCATTTTTTTTTTGTCAGTCGTGGGTCTTGATCTCTGGGCCTGGGGGCTGTCCCTCAGCATCTCAGCTCAAGGCGAGCACTCTACCACTTGAGCCACAGCGCCACTTGCGGCTTTTTCTGCTTATGTGGTGCTGAGGAATGGAACCCAGGGCCTTATGCATGCAAGGCAAGTGCTCTACCGCTGAGCCGCCTTCCCAGCATCTATTCTAAGCTTTGCCCTGGCTCCCCTCTCATCTTGTGGCCCAGCTCTGTGACAGGGCTCCCACCCTTGCCTCCCTCCTTTCCTGTGGGGGGAGGCCGGGGGCTTGGGCAGGGAGGGCTCCCACGGGTGCTCAGCCTAAGGTGTATCAGGGAGTCCCCATTCCTCCCATCTCACTCCTGGACTAGCCGGCGTGGCCCGTCCGGGAGGTGGGCAGGTGGTGGGCAGGGCAGGGGAGATGGCACCTTACCAGGCGGCGGGGTCGTACTCGGCCCACACCCGCACGTACTCGTCCAGATGGTGCGGCCCCAGGATGGAGGAGTCACGGGTGAGGTACTCAAAATTGTCCATGATGACAGCCACAAAGAGATTCAGCATCTGCGGGGCCCAGGGAGGCCCAGAGAAAGCGGAATGGGGGAGGGGAGAGAGAGGGGAGAGGTGGGGGAGGAAGGGAGGGCCGGATGGGGGCGGATGATGAAAGGGGTGACACTGATCAAGATGCGCTGTATTCATCTTTGGGGAATGGCAAATCCTTTGAGCAACTACTCAAAAGATGATGATAATAATAATAATATAAAGGAAGCTGGGCACTGGTGCCTGTCATCCTAGCTACTCAGGAGGCTGAGATCTGAGGATCGCAGTTCAAAGCCAGCCTGGGCAGGAACATTTGTGACCTTTGTTTTTGATTGGTCATGGGGCTTGAACTCTGGGCCTGGGCGCTGTCCCCTCAGCTCTTCAGCTCAAGGCTAGTGCTCTACCACTTGAGCCACAGCACCACTTCTGGTTTTCTGGTGGTTCTTTAGAGATCACAGTCTCAAGGTCTTTCCTGCGCCTAGGCTGGCTTTGAACTGTGATCCTCAGATCTCAGCCTCCTGAGTGGCTAGGATGACAGGCGTGAGCCACTGGTGCCTGGCTAGGAGAAAGTCTTTGCCACCAGTCACATCCTAGAAAAGTCCACTCCTGTGGAGTTGGAGCTCTGGGGTTAGAACCATTTGTCTCTCTCCTCCCGCATGTCCCCTCCATGGCCAAAGACTCACCAGAAAGGAACAGAGGAAGATGAAGGAAACAAAATAAAAATAAGCAAATTCATTGCCGCAATCAGCCGTGAGGATGCCGGAGTTCCTGTCGCATGGCTTCCCACTGAGACAGGACAGCATGATATTGTGCCAGGCCTCGCCGGTGGCGCTCCTGCAGACCAGGGTGGGGGAGGGGCATCAGGGACCCAGACACTCATGCTCTGAGGTTGGCAAGGTGTGAGTTCGAGTCCCAGGTTGATCATCCCACTTTCCCTAGGAGCTCAGACAGGGGAATTCTCATCCATCTTGTGTGAAGACCAGGGAGCATTAAACATGCCAACATAGCCGGGTACCGGTGGCTCATACCCGTCATCCTAGCTATTCAGGGAGGCGGAGATCTGAGGATCTTGGTTCAAAGCCAACCTGGACAGAAAAGTCCTTGAGACTTTCCACTTGTCTGAGTGTCTGACCTTCTGTGGACATGCTGTCAAAAGCCAGGAGTCCCTGTTATCTCTGTGACCCCTGCCATCCTAGATCTGTTATCAAAACTGCCTGCCTCACTACTTCCTTGTTCCCCCATCTTTGGCTGATTCCTGCTGCCGCCCCCACCCCCAACTCCTTTAAGATAATCTCAGGCGCTGGTAGCTCACACTTGGCTGAGATCTGAGGGTCTCGGTTCAAAATCAGCCTGAGCAGGAAAGTCTGTGAAACTCTTATCTCGAATAAAATTTCCCCCAGCCAGTCTGAATGTATAAACAGGGGCTGGGCCATGTTCTTGGGTTTAATTCTTCATCCTCTGGAGGTTCTGATTTTTTTTTTTTTGGGTCCGGTCATAGGGCCTGAACTCTGGGCCTGGGCGCTGTCCCTCAGCTCTTCAGCTCAAGGCTAGCGCTCTACCACTTGAGCCACAGCGCCACTTCTGGCTTTTTTTTCTTTTTGCTTATGTGGTGCTGAGGAATCGAACCCAGGGCCTCAGGCATGCAAGGCAAGCGCTCTACCACTGAGCCACCTTCCCAGCCCCTTATTACTTATTTAATATGAAACTTATTAACTATGAGGCATTTCTTCATCGGTTGCTCTGGAAGCCACATGAGCCCTCAGCACGCCCGGCCCCCCTTCCCCCCCAATAGACTTTCCTGCTCTGGCTGGCTTCAATCTGCGATCCTCAGATCTCATCCTCCTGAGGACTACAGGCGTGAGCACCTGACTCAACCATTTTGGAATGTACAACCCAGCAGCGTTAAGTAGGCTGGTATTGCTCTGCAGCCACCACACCCCTCCGCCCTGGATCATTTTCCTCGGCCCAGACAGAAGTTCCGTCCCCATCCCACAGCGAGTCCCAGGCGGCCTCCTTCAGCCCAGCGCCCGCCTTCCCACTTCCGGTCTCAGGCTTCAACCGCTCGAAGCGCCGTCAGGCGAGCGCCCCAGCCGCGCGTGTCCTTTTCTCTGCTTTCCCTCTCCAGGCCTGCGGTCACTCCACCCCGGCCTCCCGCAGCCTCGGCCGCCTCCCGGGGCGCCGCCGAGGAGAACGCCCTCCGCCCGTGGCCTGGACAGGCCCACGCCACCCGCGGCGTGTGCCCAACCCCACCGGAAGTGACGGATGACGCCTGGGTGCTGGACGAGGCGCGGTGCAAACCCGCCGGAAGAGAAAGGCGAGGCCACGCCCAGACCGGAAGAGATGCTGCCAAGCCTCGCCCAATCAGAAGGGAAGGATGTGGGCGGGCGCTCTCCCAACCGGAAGAGGCTAGCGAGGCCCCGCCCAGACGACGCCACGCCCTACCGCAAGCCCGCCCCTTCCTCACCGGAAGAGAAGCATAAGGGCCTGGAAGAAGGTCCGGAAGTTGTTGTGCTCGGTGATCTGGAAGTCGTCCTCGTCACTGTCCTCGTCCTCCATGTCGATGCCGATGTTGCCAAACACCTGGGGAATCGGAGGGTGGTAATGGGGCGGGGAGGCAGCCAGCCACAGCCCTGGGGGCTCCAGGGGACCCCGGATGAACAATGGCTGCCTCCGGGCCCCCGGGCAGCTCTGGGCAGCTGGGGCGCTCAGGACCCACCTGCATCCCGATGATGGCGTAGATGAAGAAAAGCATGGCGATCAGCAGGCAGACATAGGGCAGGGCCTGGCGGGGAGAGCAGCCGGTGAGGCGGCGCGGAGCCCCCGGAGCCTCGGGGATCCCGGGCCTGGGGGGGACGCCACCCCCCGCACGCCGCAGCGCCCTCACCTTGAAGGACTGCACGAAGGTCCAGAGGAGGATGCGGATGGTGTAGCCCTGCCGCAGGAGCTTGATGAGCCGCGCGGCCCGGAAGAGGCGGAGGAAGCTCAGGTTGATGAAGTTATTCTGGGGAGACGGAGGAAAGCAGGGTGACTCTCCACCCGCCCCGAGCGGCTGAGAGCTGTCACCACTCACAGAGGCCCCCTACACGAAGCCAACCGACAAGAAAAAATAAAAACAACGACAAAGCAAGCCAGACCCGCCCCGCCCCCAAAATAAGGAGGGAGAGGAGAGAGAGCACTATTAATGCAATGGTGCAGAGGAAAAGAAACAAAAAGCAACTCAGGAAAAAGCAAAAAGAAGAAAAACCAGGGGAAGAGTGGATGGGAGGAGGGGAGGAGAGGTACCAACTCAAAAAGTCAACCCCCCACTCACAAAAATAAAAGGGAAGGAAGGAGGGAGGGAACGGGGTGGGGACAAAGAAATAATCAAAGAACAAGGAAAAGAAAATAGGATCTGAACCATCCAATCAGAAATTCAAACCAAACCAAACCAAAATAAAATCACCAAAATAAAGTCGAGATGGCTTTTATTTCTCCCAACAACCAAATGCACTGAGACGAGAGGACACAAGCAGGTTCAAGGTGCGGGGGGAGGGGGGCTGGGGGGGGACACCCATCACAGGTGAACGATGCACAGATGCAGCACACACGCACGCGCGCGCGCACACACGCACACACACACACCCACGCGCGCGCGCGGGGCAGGCCGAGGTGGACACATGCGCTTCTTTCTCCGAGGGCATGTTACGCTCCCGGGCCAGAAATGCATCTGTCATGTGGGACTCAGCGGGCACCCTGCCCTGCCCTGGCCGAGCTGCCCACCCGCTCCGGCCCGCCCTGACCTCACCCCACGGGGCCAAGAGGAGCAGGGGGCTGGGAGCCAATGGGGCGAAAAGGGTCAAAGCATCTTTTCTTACCCCCTTGGCGAGCGGGGATGGGGAGGACGGGAGGGAGCTGGGGCTGTTCGGCTGCAGGGCCAGTCCTCGCTGATCGGAGAAGATGCATTTGGGCCCTGTTCCCCCCTCTCTCAGGGATGGCTTCTCAGCTTCTGGGGCTGGGTGCAGTGGCCTGCGGGAAGCAGGAAGGACTGAGCTCCCAAGGGGGGGGTGTCTGGGGGTCTTGGGGAGGGGCTGTCTGTCTGGTCCACCCAGGGGTGGGTGCTGGGGGTGGGGAGGGAGGTGGGGCCGTCCCTGCCCCCAGGACCTCCCTGAGTGGCTCTCGTCTCTCTTCAATCCTCCCCGTCCCCTCTTCCTCATCTAGGCCCTGCCTCGATTTCCTTCCTCCCACCCAAGCTAGAAGTGGAGCAGGTGGCCAGTTGGGAAAACAGTGGGGCAAGGCCCATGGGTCTCCTCCCTCCTCTCCCCCCGCCCCGGGGGGGGGTTTGAGGGGACACTGTGGAGGGGTTGAGAGGCTCAAAGTCACACATGGACCCACTTTGGTCAATAGAGCAAGTGCCTGGACCTGAGCAGTGGTTTTTCCTTGTGCTATCTTGGGATTGAACCCAGGGATATCTGTGTGGTAGTCCAATTACTTGAATCACACCACCAGCTCCTAAAAAAAGTTTTTGATGCTTGGTTGGTTGGTTTTTGGGATGCGGATCTTGCTCCCTCAGCTTGGGGTGGCCTTGAACCTGTCCTCCGCAGACCTCTGTTTCTCAGTGGTTGGGATTATAGCTAGGTAGGAAAATGCCTGGGTTTCTTTTCCTTCCTTCCTTCCTTCAGCCCTTCCCTTCCTTTCCTTTCCTTGTGATTTAAAAGAAAAATCAAATTTTACCCATGAATCTTAACTTTCTGCCCTCCAGTTTTCCAAAGCCTGCTGCCGCACTCCTGGTGTAGTGATGTGAGTGGCGGGCAGAGGCCTTTGGCTTTGACAGCCCTGCCCCTTCCCTGGCCAGTGCTTGGTAGCTGGAGACAGGGGTGCATGGGGTCTGCCCGCCATGTTTGGTTCTAGTTGGAGGGGTTTGTGAATTCCCTGGGAGCAAGACCTCAAGGCAAGACTCAGCTCAGCTCAGCCCAGCCCTCAGCCAGGGGAGCAAAGCCGTGTCCACTGCCTCAGACTTCCTGTTTCTTTCCTTTCCTTTCCCTGTCTCTGTCTTTATTTTTTTGGTGCTGGTCCTGGAGCTTAAACTCAGGGCCTTGGCTTCTTCCACTCAAACCTGGTGCTCTACCACTTGAACCACAGCTCCACTTCTAGCTTTTCGGTGGTTCATGGGAGATACAAAGCTCACTGCCCTCAGCCTCCTGGAGAGCTCAGATGACAGGCATGAGCCGCCTGGCCAGCCTTCCTGGCTTTCAATTTGGGGAGCAATTTATGTGGCATGGGGGAAGGGGGCCAGGGAGCCCTGCCCTGACCACCTGGGGTCCATCCACTGTGAGGGACCACCCCCACAGGCCCCTAAAACCCCACTTGGCAAAGTCAATCATCCTCTGTGCCCAGCTGCTGACCCCCCCTTCTGCCTGGGCCCCCCATCCCCTGCCCCGCTCCCTCCACTCCCGGGGAGCAAGCCATCCCTTCCTCGGGTGGATCATAACATGTGACTCGGGTAAAAGCATGCAGAGGCCCAGAGGCCCCGGAAGCAGCCTGGGGGTCCCCGGGCAGAGCCCCCCCATGCAAAAGCAGCAAGGGAACTGGCAGGGGGAGGCATGCAGGCTGCCCATCTAAGCCCTTGGGGGGAGGGGAAGGAAGAGACACAGGAGGGGGAGGGGGAGGGGCAGGGGCAGGGGCCGGGTGTGTGTGGGGAGGCTCGGGTCTGTGACCCATCTCCAGCAGCACTTCCAAGGGTCTCCTCCCCCTAGCTTCTGTTTTCCCATCAAGGACCTGTGATGCTCCGGGCTCTGGGCAGGACCCAGGCCTGGAGGAGGGGCCGGTGACCAGTCCTCTTGGCTCAGCCATCTGCACCCTCCGCTTGGTCTACGTCAGCCTCTCCTGCTCGTCCTGTGCTGCAGCCGCACCCCATGCGTTTCCAGCCCTCCACTCCGGGCTCGCTGCCCCACCACAGGCTTTGCACGAGGCTGGCGGGCCTCTCTGCTCAGGCCACAGCCTCCAGCCGACAGCGCTACCCCTTCAAGTGGATCCAGGGGTTATGGGTGTGGTGGCTGCCGCTGCCACTCCTTAGGCGGGGCTTCTGAGTCCCCCTAACTTCCCCCTGCTGGCTCACCGAGTCCCCCATATGGATGTCTGGTGGAGGACCTGTGTCCTGCCGGCAGGGAAGAGACCTGGTGTGCAGACACCAGCGGGGCAGTGAGGTGGGGAGCATATGGGAGGGGGTCCCCAAGAGGGGTTGTGAGGAAAGGGGCCAAGAATGGGGGACGTGAGAGAGGCGGCCGTGGGTGTGGGCGTCGGGCTGGCGTGGGGTGCCGGGGAGTGTGTGTGTGTGTGGCCTTGGTAGTACTAGCTCACTTAGGGCAGAGGAGGGAGGGGGAGTGGGGGAGACGGACAGACAGACGGGGGGGGGGGCAGGCGGGCTGTGGCTCCCCCCTCAGGAAGCTGGGGCGGCCCATGCGATGCGTCCACACTTAATGTAAGGCATTGACACTTCAGAAAGAAGAAAACACCAACCGGATTCTAGATGCGGATGTTGAAGATGGAGGGGCGGGCGGGAGATTTGGGGAGGCCAATCAGCGTTTTTGTTTTTTTGTTTTGTTTTGTTTGTTTTAACGTTGATTTGGAAACCGGTGCCAAAAACCAACAACAACAACAAAAGCCCAGTGGGTTTCGGGCGATGGGATGGGAGTGGGGTGCGGCGGGGTGGCGGGGTGGGGTTGAGTCATTGGTATATGAACACAGAGCACGGCACGGATGAGCGAATGAGGTTCATAGTGCATTTTGATTGCATGAGGTTTTTTTTTTTGGTTTTTTTTTTTTCAGATGGAGTTGTGCCAACAACAGTTTAGAGAGCAGGCATGGAAGGAAGACAAGACAGAAACACAGTCATTATCGACCGCGCAGCCCGCCGTCACCCCCCCTTCCCGGCCTCTTACCTGGGAGGCAGACAGAGCCTATCCTCCCCACCGGGGCACCCCTGCCCCCCACTCCCCTCCTGAGGGCCAGGCCCAGTGGCACCATGAATATTTGTGGCAAAAGAACAATAGCAATAATAATAATAATAATGTTATTCTCAAAGCATGTCATATTGATCACTATTGAATTTTATGTCCGTCGTCTGTTGCAGGGCTTGAACTCATGGCCTGGGCGCTGCCCCTGAGCAATGTTTTGCTCAAGGCCAGTGCTCTACCATGTTGAGCCACAGTTCCACTTCTGGTTTTCTGGTGGCTCATTAGAGATAAGAGTCCCATGGACTTTCCTGCCCAGGGCTGGCTTTGAACGGCGATGCTCAGATCTCAGCCTCCTGAGTGGCTAGGATGACAGGCGTGAGCCACCAGCTGATTGCTATTTTTTTCTCCCCTGTGTACGTGTACACATGTGTAGGTCCTGGGGCTTGAACTGAGGGCCCTGGCGCTGTCCCTGAGCTTTTTTTGCTCAAGGCTGGTGCTCTACTACTTGAGCCACAGTGCCACTTCCTGTTTTTTGGTGGTTCCTTGGGAGATTTAAGAGTCTCACAGACTTCGCCCAGGCTGGCTTCAAACTTGGCTCCTCAGAGCTCTCCTGAGTAGCTGGGATTATAGGCGTGCACTTTGAACACCTAGCTGCTCCTGCCTGCTACAAAGAAGTGTGGGGAAATGTGTCCCTGGCTTCTGGGGAGAGGCCAGGCTGGGACACCCCAAGAAGATGCCAGCAGGCCGTTGGGACCAGCCTCGGCTTGGCCCTGTGAGCGGTGCCGCTCCGCGCGGCCCTTTTCCCATGTACGATTATTATGATCATTATTGTTATTGTTACTTTTCTTCTTTTTTGGTGCCAGGCCTTGTACAGCCACGCAGGTGCTCCACCACGGAGCAGCTTCTCCTCCTGGGGGGTCTCCCCCCCTCCCCACTGTCTCCCCTGGGTCCCCAAGTCAAGACTCCCTGGCAGTAGCCAAGGCCAGGGTGTGGGCAAGACCATGGGGCTCAGGGTTGTCTACAACCTGAGAACCCACCCCTCCCACCTCCCCATGCGCGAGCCGCGAGCCCCAGGGGTCCCCTGACACCCTGAGTGTCTTCCCCAGACCAGCCCCGGGGGGCCCAGGTCCCGAGCCCCCCGCCACCCCTCCCCAGACTGCACCAAGGCTGCAGAAACTCGTGCTGCCAGCTCCCAGGACGCACGCGTGCTCGCTGGCGACGCACACCGGTCGCTTGCTCATGACCCCGTGTGTGTGCAGCCTGCACGGCTTATTCCTCAGCCCCGTCACCCACTCCTGATGCCACCGTCGGGGGCAGGGCAGCCCCACATCTGGGTTTCGGGGCGCCCCCACCTCCCTCCTCGTCCCTGGGTTCTCCCGTCTACGGTCCCCAGCTAAGGGCGGCCTGAGCCAGCGGCGGCTGGGGGACCCCCCGGGTCTGCACCTCCTCCCCACCCCCATCTCTCCAGGCCCCAAGTTGCCCCAGAGAAAAACAGTCAGCTGGAGACTCACCCCAAACTCGGTGACCAGGATGTCCGTGATGCTGCCCAGAACAGTCACGAAGTCGAAGATGTTCCAGGCATCGCGGAAGTAATTCTAGAAGAGGGGGGACGCACAGGATGGATGGCAACGGCGGCCTCGGCGCCCCGCCGGCGCCCGCTTAGGCTTCGCGCGCGGTGGGGCCCCCTCCCAGGGAACCCCCAGACGCCTTCCATGTCTCGCCGGGCTCCAGGGCCCCGTCTCCCCTCCGTGGGGAAAGGGGGGCGGCCTCTGTCTTCCCAACATTCCCAAGGTGCCCAGGCATCACTGGGCAGGCAGAGACATCAAAGCTACTTACCTGTCTTGAGGCCAGGAACAGAGATACTGAGTTGGGCTTTGAAGTCGGGACTGTACTGTGTTTATAGGACATTTCACTAAACCACAGAATCTACACTCAGATCCCAGTTCAAGTAGCAACTGAGCTGTGTGGCTAGGGGCAACTGGCTTAACCTGTCTGTGCCAGTTTCCTGACAATAACAGACTGCAGAGTATGGGCAGTGTGTGCAGTCCCTGGCCACTCTCCAGAATCCTCTGAATTCTTTTTTTTTTTTTTTTGTGTCCGGTCGTGGGGCCTGAACTCTGGGCCTGGGTGCTGTCCCTCAGCTCTTCAGCTCAAGGCGAACACTCTACCACTTGAGCCACAGCGCCACTTCCAGCTTTTTTCTTTTTGCTTATGTGGTACTGAGGAATCGAACCCAGGGCCTCATGCATGCAAGGCAAGCACTCTACCACTGAGCCACCTTCCCAGCCCAGAATCCTCTGAATTCTATAGGATCCAGAACATTCCAGACAACAGTTACTCCATGAACCCCGAGTCTCTGAGTGATCAGGAGATAGAGAGCTCCTCTTCTGAGCTCGATAAACATATTTATTGATAAAAGCTACTGTGATGGTGGGGTTGTTTGTCACAGCAGCTCAACAGTGCTCTAAGCTGACTGATACATCCTCCCCTTCCCCGCAACCCAACCCTGGGCTGGGCCCTGGCTTGCGAGGAGGGACGCACAGATACAGCTGGATTGTTGGGAAAATAGCAACCAACCACAGCCCCCAGGGCCCTGGGACCCCCAGGCTTTCCTAACCCTCCCTACGCCATGAAGACGTAGCACTCTGCCTGGATCTAAAGGTCCTGCTTGGTAGCACCCTCCTGGGGGCAGGTCAGGACTTGGGGGCCTGGTCTCTGTCTTGGCTCCCTAAGCTTTCCCATCTCAATTAGAGGCCTTTTATCATTTGATCTCAGGACCCCTGAGAAGTAGCCCTTGATTGACAGGGATGACTTCCTCCTCCCAGACGGGTATGCTCTCTGCTGCCACCTGGTGGTCAACACTGGAGTTGCACCTTGAGCTCATGGGCTTGGGAGGGGGGAAGCAGAGTTGTGGGGGGCGGGGGTGCTGGCCCTGTCCCGGCTCCATGTCCCCTGCTGTGGGCTCTGCTTCTGAGAAATTCAAAATGGACACAACCCTCTAAGCTGTTCACCATGGACCTCAAGCTCCAGAACTAAAAGGCTCTCCTGTCTATTGCCTAACGGGACATAAGGATCTGGGGGCTTATCTAAAACAGCAAGGGAGATTCAGGGCAGATTCCTGCAGGACTGGCAGGGGTGAGGAGACAAAGCCTCGGTTCTGGGCAGAAGAATTCACCCAGTGGGCAACTGGCTCCCATGGAAAGAACTGCAGGGCCCAGAGCCTCTAAACCCCCAGGGTAGGATGAGCGAAGGGATTGGTAAAGGAAGGCGCTGGCGGCTCACACCACGCCGGTCATCCTAGCTACTCAGGAGGCTGAGATCTGACGATGGCAGTGTGAAACCAGCCTGGGCAGGAAAGTCCGTGAGACTCTCACCTTCAGTTAACCACCAGACAAGAAGAGGAGCTCTGCCTCAAGTGGTAGAAAGCCAGCCTTGAGGGGGGAAAAAAAAAAAAAAACACACCCAGGGATACAACCCAGGCAGTGTGTTTGAGCCCCAGGACCAGCAGAAAATAATATTTTGCCAGGTGCTGGTGGCTCATGCCCATAATCATAACTGCTCAAGAGGCTAAGATCTGGGAGTTATGGCTCAAGGCTAGCCAGACAAATCTGTGACACCCATTTGAGGCCACACATCAAAGACCTAACTTCTTTGCACACTTTTTCTTTTTTTCCATATGGGTCCTTTGGTTTGAATTCGGGGCCTGGGTACTGTCCCTGAGCTTCTTTTGATCAAGGCTAGTGCTCTACCTCTTGAGCCATAGCTCCATTTCCTGCTCCTTTTGAGTAGTTTATTAGAGATAAGAGTCACACAGATTTTCTGCCTGGGCTGGCTTCGAACCTCGATCCTCAGATCTCAGCCTCCTGAGTAGCTAGGATGACAGGTGTGAGCTACTAGCACCTGGCTCTTTGAGTGTGTGTGTGTGTCCAATCCTGGGACTTGAACTCAAGGCCTAGGCATTGTCCCTGAACTTCTTTTGCTTAAGGTTGGTGTTCTACCACTTGAACCACAGCTCCACTTCTGGCTTTTTTGGTGGTGAATTGGAGGTAACTGTTTCATGGACTTTCCTGCCCAGGCTGGCTTTGAACCTTGATCCTCAGGTCTCAGCCTCCTGAATCACTGCAATGGCAGCGTGAGCCACCTGCTCCGGCTCATCGTTATTTTTCACCTTCTACTCATGGAACTTTTCTTTGCATCTTGAAGACCATTTTTCATCATGGTGGCAAAGCACTTGAGCTCACTCACTTGGCAAGAAGACAGGTTCTCAGGGGCCATGGTTTCCTTGGCCCTGAGCCTTAGCCAACGATGGAACAACATGTTCTCATGGAGACCAGAAAAACCAGGGAGAGAGGAAAGGCCATGCCCCTCAGTGACCTCACGTCCTCTCAGAAAGCCCTGCCAGTCCTGGGGTTCGAACTCAGGGCCTGGGCACTGTCCCTGAGCCTCTCTGTGTTCAAGGCGAGCACTCTACCAGTTGAGCCACAGCACCACTTCCGGCTTTTTCTGTGTCTGTGGTACTGAGGATTGGAACCCAGGGCTTCAAGCATGCTAGGCAAGCGCTCTACCACTGAGCCACCTTCCCAGTCCAGCCCTGCCTCTTAAAGGTGCTTTTGCCTCCTGATTGTACCACTGGCTGATGGGCTGAGCCTTTGGCATATGGATAATCTGGGAGATATTTATACAAACTGTAGCAACAGACAGCAAACCGACACCATATTATTCACATGATCTTTCACAAATACTTATAAAAGTCATGTCTTTTTAATCCTAGCTACTTAGGAGGTTGAAATGTGAGGATCATTACACACAGCCAGCAGCCAGGGCAGGAAAGTCCATGAGACTTTTTCTTTTGGTGGTCATGGGGCTTCAACTCTGGGCCTGGGCGCTGTCCCTCAGCTCTTCTGCTCAAGGCGAGCACTCTACCACTTGAGCCACAGCACCACTTCTGGTTTTCTGGTGGCTCATTGAAGATAAGAGTCTCATGGATTTTCCTGCCTGGGCTGGCTTTGAACCACGATCCTCAGATCTCAGCCTCCTGAGTAGCTAGGATGACAGGTGTGAACATCTTGTGCCTGGCTTCTATGAGACTCTTATCTCCACTAAACTACCAAAAATGATGGAAGTGAAGCTGTGGCTCAGGTGGTAGAACGCTAGCCTTGATCTGAAAAGCTAGGAGCAGAGACCAGGCCCTGAGTTCAAAATCCAGGGCTGACACACATACAACAAAGAAAGGACAAAAGAGTTTCTCATCAAATTCCCTGTCCCATGTACAGATAAGAAACAAAGAACTTAGGTTCTGACTACATGCATTCATGGAGAAAAAGATCAAGTTAGTAGCCCAGGGAGACACATTTGAAAGAGAAAGAAATGGAGCAGAAAAGAAGACACAATATCAGAAATGAAGCCATACAATAAGATCAAATATTGATTTCCTGAAGTTATCATGGTAGTTATCATTAGTTTATCCCCTGTCTTGTCTTTATCATGGGGCTTGAACTGGGCCTGGGCGCTGTCCCTAAGCTTTATTGCTCAAGGCTAGAGTTCTAGCACTCTGAGCCACAGCGCCACTTCCGGTTTTCTGGTGGTTTATTGGAGATCAGCATCTCATGGACTTTCCTGCCTGGGCTGGCTTTGAGCTGCGAACCTCAGATCTCAGTCTCTTGGGTAGCCGGGATGACAGGCGTGAGCCACTGGTGCCTAATTTTTTTTTTTTTTTTGAGACAAGATCTTGCCATGTAGCCCATGCTGGCCTGGAATTCACCATCCTTCCTGCCTCAGCCTTCTGAGATGCTGGGATTACAGGTGTGTATCACCACACTTGGCAGACACAGTCTGGATACCATGCACTGAATGTCTCTCTGATTTTGTTTCGTTCCCCTGTCTCTAAGGCAGATAGTAATTATGTCTAGATTCCCCCACCCACACTTGGGAGGGTGTGGATGGGGGGGCAGCAGCCCTCAGAGCCCCTGTGGGCTTACCCCCAGCCGGCACCTTCAGCCCCACAGCTGCGCTTACCAAAATCCCAAAGGCCGTGACTTTCAGCACGCACTCGAGAGAGAAGAGGGAGGTGAAGACGATGTTGAACACCTTCAGAGCGTTATCGTAAGCCGCGGAGGCTCCGTCGAACTAGAGAAGGAAGGAGGAGGGAGACATCAGTGTTCTAAGGGTCGGGGGAGGGGGGGCCGGGGAGGAAGCTCTGAGGCCATCTTCCCTGAGATGGGGAATTGGGGACCCAGGACAGAGCCACTGCTCCAGGTCCCAAGCAAGGATAGTACAATCTCCTCGGTAGAGGCAACTGTCTCCAAACCCTGGGTCTTTACAAGGGCCTCCAACCCACAGTCTTCCTGGGTGCTGGGATTGCAGGAGTGCACCACTGTGCCCAGCTTAGAACTCTCTTTTTGGAAGTTGATATATAACAGGAAGGCCACCAGCCAGAATTCTTGCTGGATTCTCCCACCTTAGGCCGAGATTGGACGTGGCTCTTCAATAACAGCCCCGGCGGCCCCCGCTCTCCTGGCCCCCTGTAATATCTTCTTGTCCAAATTATTTTTAATCGTAATTGAATGCAACTTGAGGCCCCATGGCTGTGCTTTCCCCAATCTGGATATAGCTTGTGTTTTTTGAAGGCTCTGTGTTAAAGGATTACCCTCAATAGCATGAATTTTTTTTTTTTTTTTTGGTGCCAGTCCGGGCACTTGAACTGAAGGCTTGGGTGCGGTTGCCGAGGTTTTCTGATCAAGGCTAGCCCTCCCCCACCTTTGAGCCACAGCTCCACCTCTGGCTTTTCAGTGGTTCATTGGAAGTAAGAGTCCCATGGACTTTCCTGCCTGGGGAACCACCAGCCACAGATCTCAGCCTCCTGAATAGCTAGGATTACAGGAGTGGGCTAGAGGTGGGGGCCTTTAAGAGGCGGGGCCTAGCGGGAGGCAGTTAGGTCTGAGGGGCGTGGCCTCCTCCTTCTGCCAGAGCCTTTGCTGGGCCCTGTGGCCCTGTCTCTTCAGTCACTTTATACACTTATCTTGCTTCAGGTGTTTCATTATATAATAGAAAAATAGGGTCAAACATAGACTAGAGGAAACATTATGGCAGCTGGAAGGAGTGAAGTCCTTGGGCCTCTCATCCCCAGACGTGGAACAACATGTCTAGGTCCCCTGGCTCCTACCCTGGTTTTTCTCCTTCCTTCCTTCCTTCCTTCCTTCCTTCCTTCCTTCCTTCCTTCCTTCCTTTCTTCCTTCCTTCCTCCTTCCTTCCTTCCTTTTCTTTCTTGCTTTCTCTTTCTTTTTTTCCCTTTCTTCCTTTTTTTTGTCTGTCATGGGGCTTGAACTCATGGCTTGGGCGCTGTGCCTCAGCTCTTCAGCTCAAGGCCAGCACTGTACCACTTTGAGCCACTTTTCTGGTGGTTTATTGAACTTTCCTGCCCGGGCTGGCTTTGAACTGTGATCCTCAGATCTCAGTCTCCTGAGTAGCTGGGATTGCAAGCATGAGCCACTGGTGTCAGGCTGCACCTGGTTTATCTGCAGCATGAACAAACATGGGTGTTGGAAAGACAGAGATTTAAGCAACATAAATGCAATGCCATGCGCAGCTGGGGAAGTCTTGGCTCAAAGGACGACTAACTGTAATAAAAGACATTTCAGAGACAGTCGGGGAATCTCTGATATAGATGTCCAGAGAAGCCAGAAGTGGGGCTGTGGCTCAAGTGGTAGAGTCCCAACCTCCAGTGGAAAAGCTTAAGGGACAGTGCCCAGGCCCAAGTTCAAGTCCCAAGTTCAAGACATAAAAAGAAAAGGTTACAATTACTGAGGGTCTCTACAATGCCAAGCCCAGTACGAAGACGGCCTGAGCTTTCTCACTGAATCCTCACACACATCGCCCATTTTGTTGGCAGGGCGACAGGCGCGGGGGAGTGACCCGTGCCCTCCGGTGAAACGGAGCTACAACGGTAAAGCTGGACTCGAATCCAGGACTCCAAACTTCACAGCTCAAAAGTTCAGACGTTTCACCCCAGGAAGCTCCAAAACTCATCCCCGCTGTCCTCCCTCACTTCCTCCATTCCACCTCACGAAGGCTTCATCCCCCCTGCCCGAGGCTCAGGCCCTTCCCGAACTCCTGGGTCTCCGGCTGCCTGGCGCTCAGAGGCTGGTGAGGCCCTCTAGTATGCGCCCAACAGCAACATTCCATCCTGGGAGATAACCAGGAGGAGCCTGCAAAGATGCAGCTAGGGGAGGCGGGGAAGGCTTTCTGGAGGAAGTACCCTGTGAGCCAGGCCATCAGGAAGGAGTTGGCCAGACAGAATGGTGGGAACAGACTGGCAGGCCGAGGGAAGGGAGGGCACAGAGGCTCAGAGGCGACGCGGGGTCCATCGGTGTGTGGCGCCGCTCACCTTCATCATCAGCACGATGGTGTTGAGGGCGATCAAGGCCATGACCGTGTACTCGAAGGGCGGGGACACCACGAACTGCCACATCCGGTACTGGAAACTCTGTTTGTTCTGAGGCATGTGCCGGGTGAGTGGCTTGGCGCTGATCGCAAAGTCGATGCAGGCTCTCTGTGGGGGAGAGGCCAGTGTGAGGCGGAGGGGGAGGAGGCCGGCAGGAGGAGGCTGACCACACACCGCAGGGCTCAGCTGGTTCAGACATCTGCCCTCCCAGCTCCCAACCAACTCCTCAGCCACGCTCCTTTCTTAGTCAGGCCCTCGTGGCTCATGCCTGTAATCCCAGCTACTCAGGTGACTGAAATGGGAGGATCGTGGTTCAAAGCCAGCCTGGGCGGGAAAGTCCCGCGAGACTCTTTACGGTCACTGAAGCACAAAAAGCAAGGCTGTGGCTCAAAGTGGTAGAGTGCTAGCCTTGAGCAGAAAAGCTCATGGACAGCGCCAGGCCCCGGGGTTCAAGACCCAGGGTCCCCCCTCCCCACAACACACAGAAAGTTGCTATGACTGTTTCAGGAGTCACTTTGTGCCTGTGTTTACCTACGATCCCACCTCAAGGAGAGGAACTGCGTTGCCCAGGGAAGTTAAGCTACTGGCCTGAGATGGCACAGCCCCCAAGGCTGCCACATTGGACTTTAAACCAAAGTCCTGGAGCCTTGGCTTGTTTCTTAGTGCATGTCTTATTTCCCCTCTCTTCTGTTTTTTTCCCCTGCTCTTTGGGCAGGTAGCAAGGTTTGAACTCAGGGACTTGTGCTCACAGCTGGTGCTCTACCATTTGAGCCACATACATCTCATCCAGCATTTCATGGATAATTGGAGATGAGTGTTACACAGACATTTTGTGCCCAGGCTGCCTTTGAACCATGTTCCTCAGATCTCAACCTCTTGAGTAGCTAGGATGACAGGTGGGAGCCACCAGTACCCGGCTCACATATTGTTTTTTTTTTTTTTTTTGGTCGGTCGTGGGACTTGAACTCTGGGCCTGGGCGCTGTCCCTCAGCTCTTCAGCTCAAGGCCAGTACTCTACCACTTGAGCCACGCGCCACTTCCAATTTTCTAGTGGTTTATTGGAGATAAGAGTCTCACAGACTTTCCTGCCCGAGCTAGCTTTGAACCATGATCCTCAGATCTCAGCCTCCTGAGTAGCTAGGATGACAGGCGGGAGCCACTGGTGCTCGGCTGCCAAGGTTTCTTAATTTTTATTTCTGTTGGTTTTTGAAAAGGACCATGTAGCTCAGGGCTGTCCCTGAACTGAAGATCCTCCTACATTAGCCTCCCAAAGTGCCGGATTACAAGGTGTACACTACCACACTTGGCAAGGTTGACCGGATTTCCACTTGTAAGTAGTTGCTATCCGTCTCATGGGGAGATGACGTACCCCTGTCCCACTGAGAGCAAATGAGCGAATGCCTGAGTAGATGCCGAGCCGCCGTGGACGTGGGACTGGACCAGGGTAGGTCACGTGTTGTGTCACTTTGCTGTGAAATACCTTGGCGGAAGGCGCTGGCCTGGCCTGGTCTGGACATGCGGTGTGCACATTTTTTGGTTGTTGTTGGTCATGGGGCTTGAACTCTGGGCCTGGGTGCTGTCCCTCAGCTCTTCAGCTCAAGGCGAGCGCTCTACCACTTGAGCCACAGCGCCACTCCCAGTTTTCTAGTGGTTCATTGGAGATAAGAGTCTCACGGTCTCTCCTGCCTGGGCTGGCTTTGAACCATGATCTTCAGATCTTAGCCTCCTGGGTAGCTAGGATGACAGGTGTGAGCCACTGGTGCCTGGAAGGTGTCTACAATTTAATAGACACCAGGAAAGCAAACTAGAAGACAGGGTTGAAGACATCCAGTTGACGAGAATCAACAAAGAGAGACATCTTGTATTAAAAAAACAAAAACCATAGGAGGCTGAGATCTGAGGATCACAATTCGAAGCCAGTTCTGGCAGGAAAGTCTGTGAGACTCTCATCTCCAATAAAAAAAAAGCCAGACATAGTGCTTTGGCTCAGTGGTAGAGCACTCTAAGCCAAAAGAAACTCAGGGACAGTGCCTAGGCCCAAAGTTCAAGCCCAGGACTTGTAAAAAGAAAGAAAAAAGAAAAAAAATCAGCTGGTGGCAGTGCCTTACGCCTGTCATCCTAGCTACCCAGAAGGCTGAGATCTGAGGATCACAGTTCTAAGCTAGCCTGGGAGGAAAGTCCATGAGATTGATCATCTCTTAACTACCCAAACCTGACAGTGGAGCTGCGACTCAAGTGGTAAGGGTTAGCCTTGAGCAAAAAAGCCAAGTGGCAGTTCTTGGGTCCTGAGTTCAAGCTCCAGGACTTGCACACAAAAAAGCAAAAACCAGCCCCTTTGTGTCTCTAGGGGATACTCATTACTGCAGCATACCCTGGTCTGAACTGACTGATACGTATCACGTGGCGAAGGGAAGTTCATGAGGGCTGCCCTGCAGAACTGCATCCCGCGCAGAAGAAGCAAGTGTTGGTTCCTGACCGTGCCTATGTGTGAATATGGGGTGGGGTGGGGTCACAACTGGGTGTTAGTACCTCATTTTTCTCCAGGCTGTACTCCTCCATCATCTTATCCCCTTGCTCCTGGAAAGTGATGATAATCAAGGCCACGAAGATGTTGACAAAGAAGAAGGGGAAGACCACGAAATAGACCACGTAGAAGATGGACATTTCCATGCGGTACCCGGGGCTGGGGCCCTGGTTCTCAAACGTGGCGTCCACTGAATGCTTGAGGACCCTGTGGGGAGTGGGCAGAGCGGGGACAGGAATGGACAGAAGCATGGAGAGGAAATGGAAATGACATAAAAGTTACCTCTACTGATAAGTACAAAGGTTGGTGGTACTTGTGCTAAGTACCCAGTACTTGTGCTAAGTACAGTGTCGGTGATACTTAGGCTAAGTACCCACTTGTTCTAAGTGCCAGGTTGGGCTGTGTTCATGCTAAGTATCAAGTACTTCTGCTAAGTACCAGGGTTGGCAGTACTGATGCTAAATCACTGAGTACTTGGGCTAAGGATCCAGGTTAGCAGTAATGGTACTAAGTGCTATGTACTTGGTGCTAAGTACCAGGGTGAGTGGTTGTGGTTCATCAGCAACATGTCTAATATTTTAGTGATTTTCACAGCCACCCTCTTGGGGCTACTACTGGCTCCATCTTGCATGTAGGGAAACTGAGGTACATAGATTGCAGGGGTTTTCAAAGCAGGAGAGAATGGCACAAAGACTACAGCACTTAAAAAGCCCACAAGGAAGAACTTGTCAGAATTGTAAGTGATGATGACCCCCCTCGTCCCCGTCCTCCGGTGGCCCCCACATTTGGGGAGACCTGTGCTAAGTGCCAGCAGGGGACGGGTGGGACCCCAGAGGTCCCCGGCCTGCGCCACAGAGACTATGGCGAGGATAAGCAGAGGCCAGGCAAGGCCACACACCCACACCCACAAGGTCACGGCCGCCGCCGTTTTGTGGGAGGTGGCACTGGGACTTGAACTCAGTACCAGGCTTTGTACTCACTAGACAGGTGCTCTGTGGCTTGAGCCACAGCCCCGCCCAGTTTGCTGTCATTATTGTTTGGATGGGGGCCTCAAGCCTTGGATGGCTATCTTCCTATTTTTGCCTCTTCTGTAGCTGAAATGAACAGCTGTGCACTACTTTGCTTAGCACTCTTTTATTTTAAATTCTTGGGACACCGAGCATGCCCTACATTGAGCCACACCCCATCACTGAGCAACTTCTCTGAGCCAGGGTCTCTGCAAAGCCACACCAGTCACTGAGCCACGCCCCAAATGCTGAGCCACGTCCTATCACAGAGACAAACCCCACACAGAGCCACGCCCCCTCCTGGAGCTCTCCCCTATCACAGAGACACTCCCACACTAGGCCACGCCCCCGCCTGGAGCTCCACTCGAACTCAGAGACACGCCCCACACTGGGCCACGCCCTTGCCCCGAGCTCCACCCTATCACAGAGACACGCCTCACATCTGGCCACGCCCCCACCTGGAGCTCCACCCTATCATCCACAAGGGCCTTCACTGGGCCCTGGGCCGCTATAGTCTCGCCTCCTACGCTGAGGAGCTATGCCCATGGCCACACCCCGACGCTGAGCCCAGTCTAACGGAGCCACGCCCTATGTAGGGCAAGTCCTCACCCTGAGCTGAGCCACACCCTCTAGAAAGTCAACCCTCACTGAGCTACGCCCTATCCAAGCCTTATCCACTGACTTAACCACGCCCCCAGCCACGGGGCGGCCCACCGGCCTCAAGCCTGTCCCTCCACACCCTAGCAAGGTCCCTGCTTTGGGATCTGAGGGCCTTCGACCCTCGTACCCCCTGCAGCTTCCCACCACCCTACCAGCTGGCCCCGCCCCTCTCCCCGGCCCCGCCCACCCAGCCACGCCCCTCCCGGGCCCCGCCCCTCCCAGGCCCCGCCCCCGCTCACTGCGGCCAGCCTTCCCCCGTGGACACGGTGAAGAGGGTGAGCAGCGCCCACAGCACGTTGTCGTAGTGGAACTCGTACTTGCGCCACTCCCGGTCCCGGGCCTTCACCTCGTTCTTCTCGTACAGGAGGTACTTGCCCCTGCGGGACGCGAACGTGAGGCCCCAGCGCCCTGCGGCCGCAGACCCAACATCCAATCTCTGCACCCAGAGGGCCGCGGGAGGGGGCAGGAAGCCGGGGGCTCATTCCCCACAGGACCCGTGTCGTCCCCCCCATCTTTTGTACGGACACGAGGTCTCCCTAAGCTGCCCAGACTGGTTTTGAACCCCCGAGCGTGAGTGATTCTCCTGTCTCCGCCCCCTGAGTAGCTGGGGCTACAGGAGTGCGCAGGTGTGCCTGGCTAGGAGCCATCTCATAGCCACAAGCAGCCCAGAAACAGATCTGGATGCCTGTGATCCCGGCACTCGGGGGCTGAGCCTCTCCAGTGACATTTAAAAAATAGTGCCAGGCACCGGTGGCTCACGCCTGTCATCCTAGCTACTCAGGAGGCTGAGATCTGAGGATCACAGTTCAAAGCCAGCCCGGGCAGGAAAATCCATGAAACTCTTATTTCCAATAAACCACCAGAAAGCCAGAAGTGGCGTTGTGGCTCAAGTGGTAGAGCGCTCGCCTTGAGCTGAAGAGCTGAGGGACAGCGCCCAGGCCCAGAGTTCAAGGCCCACGACTGACCAAAAAAAAAAAAGTTTCAGAGATAAAGTATTTCTAGTTGTTTCTCTGGTGTCTATAGCTCCTTCCCAGTTATTACAAAAATGGGTTTGTCCTTGATCTACAAAGACAAAAAAAATATAGTAACTAGTAGCTGGGCAGCCATGGCTCACACCTGTAATTGCACGGTTTAGGAGGCTGAGATCTGAGGATCGCAGTTCAAAGCCAACCTGGGCAGCAAAATCCATGAGACTCTCATTTCCAATGAACCTCCAAAAACCAGAAGGAGAGCTGTGACTGAAGTGGTAGAGCACCAGCCTTGAGCAAGAAAAAAAAAGCTCAGGAGCAGCGGTCAGGTCCTGAATTCAACACACACAAAAATGTTACTGAGCGGTAGACAGAGCTGGGCAATTGCGAGGCAATTATTTGGCAAGGAGCACTGGGTTATTATTATTTCTTTTTGAGACAGGGTCATGGTATGTGTATAGTCTGGGCTGGCCTGGAACTCCTGATCCTCCTGCCTCAGCCTCCGGAGTGCTGGGATTATAGGCATGCGCTACCAAACCCGCCTACCTTCTGGATCCTATGTGGGGGTTGCTTGAGTGTCTTTAATTCCAGAACCATTTTGCGCAAGTTTCTGTGCTTCCCGAGGGTTCCCGCCACGGCCTCTCTCCCCATCCACACTCACACGGGGCCCCACAGATGACAACTCACCGACAGTCTTTCTCAAACTCCTTGGACTCATCTGTGCAGTGGAAAAACTTTCCTTTGAACAGCTGGACAGCCACCACGGCAAAGATGAACATGAAGAGCATGTATACAATGAGGATGTTGAAGACGTTCTTCAGGGAGTTCACCACGCAATCGAACACCGCCTGCGGGGGGGGGG